AATAATTACAATATAAAATACAATAATGATGGTGATAATGATGGTGGCAGTGGGCTCTCGGCTATTTCTGATTTCTAGTGTATTGGTGGTGTATGATGGATTATTGTTTTATTATTATTGTTGTGGTGGTAGTGGGGTGGTGGTTGGTGGTTGGTGGTGCGTCGGTGGTGGGTGGTGGTGGTGTGTGGTGGTGGTGGTGGTGGTAGTGGTAGTGTGGTGGTAGTGGTAGTGCGTAGTGGTAGTGGTAGAGGAGTGGTTAGTGGTAGTGTAGTGGCTAGTGTAGTGGTAGTGGTAGTGGTGTGTAGTGGTAGTGGTAGTGTAGTGGTAGTGCGCTGTTAGTGGTGGTAAGTGGTAGTGGCCGCTATGTGGTAGTGGTAGTGAGTGGTGGAGTGGTAGTGGTGCGTGGTGGTACCGGTGATGGTGGCTGCTGTGGTACTGGTGGTGTGCTGTTGTGGTGGGTGCGTGGTGTGCGGTAGTGTCAGTTGTGATGGGGTAGTGGTGATTGGTAGTGTGATGTGGTAGTTGGTAAGTGGTAATGGTGGTAGTGGTAGTGGTGATGGTGGCTAGTGGTGGTGTGTAGTGTGGTGGTGGTAGTGGTGTGGGGCCTGTAGTGCGTGGTGGTGGTAGTGGTGGTGGTGTGTGTGGTGGTGCGTCGGTGGTTAGTCGGTGATGGTGTGGTATTGGTGGTGTGTTATTGGGGGTGGGTATTGGGGGTGGTAGTGGTAGTGGTATGTGATATTAGTGGTAGTAATGCGTGATGGTAGTGGTTATTGTAGATGGTAGGTGCGGATAAGGTGATGGTCATTGCTGATGGTGGTGAGTGATGGTAATGGTTCTGTATGGCTGGTGGTGCGTGTGGTGGTAGCTGATGGTAATGTGGTAGTGTGGTGGTGGTAGTGGTGGTGGTGGTAGTGGTGATGGTGGTGGTATTGGTGGTGGTATTGGGGGTGGTAGTGGTAGTGGTAGTGGTGATAGTAGTGGTAGTAATGGTGATGGTAGTAGTGGTAGTAATGGTGATGGTAGTGCTGATGGTGGTAGTGATGGTAATGGTGGTGGTGGTGGTGATGGTGAGGTAGTGGCGGTGCTGTTGGTTGTGATGTCTCACCGCTTGGACTGGTCGAGGTCGAGCGCCTGGCCGTTCTTGCGCCAGAAGACGACGGGCTCCGGGTGGCCGCGCGGCGGCCCGCACTCCAGCAGCGCTGTCTCCGCCTGCGCCACGCGCGTGTTCTTCGGCTCCGCGCGGAAGTCGTCGCGCAGCACTGCAACACACGCACACCATCAGTCACAGCTGGGCATCGCTAAGGAGAGGGTTGCGGCAGCAGGAACACAATAGTTATGATACGAGAGGTAAAAGTCACATTTTATTCATTAATGAGAAAACGTGAAATACAAGAGGCGCGAAATGTGCGTGAAAACGAAAAAAAAACCTTACCTCAAATAAACTTAATTGTAGTAGAAGGAAATTTCTCTTAAAATACTTGTAACACTAAATGTAATATTTAATATTCTTATTTTGTATACAGTTCCCCTAAAAGTAGAAATTTGAAATATTGCTTGAGATTTCTAAATGATAATACACAATTTGAGAAAACTCTGTCTTCGCTACGTCAAACTAGCTCGTCAATATTTAGCCATTGAGCGTTTTTAGTATCTTTGTTTTGCATCCATCTCGGACGGTGATCGTGATCGTAATGATATTAGTAATTCACTCAATGACATTGCAATATTTTCAGGGAAACGATCAGTCAGAGTGTACTAAAAATGTACAGAATACAGTTTGGTATTGCAATAGGTGGCTTCATGCATGTTCCCATCTCATATTTATTTAAACTGGATTGTATATTGATGACATTCTCATATTTTACATTTTTTCTGCTTTCCACCCCTCCTTTTACCATTGTTTTCCTCTTTCTTCAACCTCTCTTTGGAGTCCAAGACAAGGTACAAATATTTATTTTCAAATACTAGTGATTATCTTTCAATACAACAGTGCATTTACATCCAAATCTATTTACGTTTTTTGCAATACATCAGAATCATCTGGTATTGCGAAGATTATTATTTATATTACAGGATATTCTATGATGTCCATTCAAAGCTCAAAACACACCTGAAAGAAAAATTTAGAAAAAAATATTGATATCATTGCAAGTGGCACTATCTCATCTTGCAACGACTTTTAAGGCTTGTACTTACGATATCCGATTCATGACTAGCTACATGATTGACGCAAGTCAGAAAAATCTGGGTTAACAGCTCTTCACGTATTGCTATTTTCTGAGAGAAAATTCGGTATACTAGGATATTGATATAGTTTATGTAATTTATTACATCTACGTTTTAGCCTTCCGACATATTGAAGATCTCGATATATGGATATATCAAAAGGAATTACCGACTACCTTTGCTTCTTTGCGCACTCTCGCATTCCTCCACCGCGGGCGCTAATCCGCTTCCGGGGAACCCCCGCCGACCCACACGCGCGCGCACTCTTCCAGCATAAAAAGGGCAAAGTTAATTTTATTTCGCCGTCGCGACAATGGGGTTATCACAAAGCATTTATCACGTGATCGGCAGACAGACCCCCGTGGCCGTTGAACGCTCGGCGCGGCGCGGCGCGGCGCTGCCTGCGAGCGGCGCAGCCCAGCGCCGCGGCCGCATTGTCCTCCCGGAGCATCGCCATTGTCGGCGCTGAATGGCGCCGCGCCGTTGGTAAGCCTGTAAGCCCGCGCAGCCAGCCATTCATCGCCCGCGGGGCGGAGCAAGGGGCACGGCGAACGGGTTTGAACGCTCTCCAACCGGCGCTAAGTACCACGACCCAAGACGTGGAGGAAGCACCCCGCCAGGAAGACATTTTAATTTCTATAAGTGTGTTTTTGGACAGCGGCCTAAGTGCAGTTCGGGGAGCCGACGCTCGGCTACATTAGCCGGAGAGGTTAATGCCCGCGATCGGGAAGCCGCGATGCGTTTGTTCGACGTGCGAGTATAGGCGTTCTGAATATGGATGGGCCCTTTGTAGGGTTGGTGAAATATGAAACGAGCTGTGATGAACGGCTCAGGGCTCTCACGAGGCCCTTGGTGGGTAGGGAGTGAGGAGGGGGGGGGAGCTCCCTTGCACGCTGCCTCCGATATCGAGCGGCTGAGAAGGGCTGCTCCGAGTGCTGCGAGGAAATCTGTTTCGACCCCGAAATGGAATACATATTTTACAACTCGCCAATTTACAAAGTGTGAGCCTTCCTTTAAACGTAAGCTTTCGGCATATTAAAAAAGTGCGGAACTCGAAATTCGCTAAAAATCCTCTTCTAAAAAGTGTGATTCAAACCATGAATTTTAATAGAAGCGTGAAAAATTGATGGAATTTCTTGAGAGAATTAGTGGCATTTTCAGTTTAAACTAATTACGCGACGAAATCCTACTAGTATTCCTTGACAAAGTTCTTTTGCGCCGCTCTTTCTCGATTTATTATGATTATTTTTTTTTTGCTCGCCGCGAAACATTTCGTAATTAGCGGATTATCCTCGCGAGCAGAAAAAGGGGGAACATTTATTTGCGGAAGCATGAAATGACATCTTTTTAATATCGCTGTTTTCCTCCGCGCGGAACGGATCCATTTGTCTTCACCAATCAAGCGCGAGGCGAAACAGAACGCCCATTAGCCTATGTCACCCCCCGACCCTCGAGGCCTCCCTTGCAGCCAGGGTAATTTGGGCATTTTTTTAACACTTTGGGTAAAGTTTTAGGAGCGGGCGAGCGGCTTCCCATCAGATCGCTATCGCTGGCTCCCCTCCGACAGTGTTTGCTGACTGCGGGCCGCATATATTCGTCCCCGGAGCTTCTGCCGCTCGCGTCTGCCACACGCGGTGCGCACGGAAGAATAGTCTGGGGTCGTCCATAAATTACGTAACGCTCAAAAAGGGGGAGGGGATTTGAGGAGGAAGCGTTACGTTGCGTTACATGTGTGTTGCGTTTATTTTTTAATTTTTTTTAACATTTGCCAAAGAAATTCAGTATTATACTAAAACATTAATAGATTAACAAATTGATTTTGAAAACATAATTGAACTAAAAGGTGTGATGTACAAATTGTTAAAACAAACGGAAATACTTTTTAATCGATGGAACATTGATTGAATCAGATTGATTGCATCTGAAAAAAATATTCGAAACTGATCTGTAGTACATTCTAGAATTTAATTAAATTGGCGAAGAAGATGCTAACCCATGCGTTTTCCACAACGGCATGTGCTTGGCTTGTCAGAAATTTTCCCTCCTAACCTTTCTTCCTTCACTCTAAGTTTGTATCCAATCTGATTGTAAGAATAGCCACCATCGCCAACTAATTCTTACTTCTTTTTCTTATTCTTACTAAATGTTAAAATTCAACCAAAACGATATTATAAATTGATTTTGCAGTTATATGATTTATACTTAACACTTAAGAACATTAATAAGGAAATTAAACTTTGAAAATTTATTATCTTTCGTAAAAACATGACCGAAGAAAGGCACAACAAGAACACGAGATGAGGAATAAATCGGATACTTAGACCAATTTTTCGTGCTTTTATCATTTTACAAGTGTTGAACAGAAATCTTTAAATTATTCCTTTAGAACCCTTCATAGTAGTACAAGGAAGAGGAAGTAATTGTAAAGAAGAATCAAAATCAATAAAAATGTCCCTATGAAGATTAGTAGCGAAATCATTCGTGTACATCTTTGCAATAATAATTTCTTGGATATTCTGCTTGAAGGTCTTAAAATATTTTTTATGTATTTTACTGTTTTTAAAGAATAGAAAACAATAGACAAACAAAAGAAATGAATAAAAGACAGAGATTACAAATATAGTGTTCGTTAAAGAAGCGCAGATATGGGCATTAACTGCAATTGACAT